GAATGCCTGTTTTAAATCTGACTATCTACATCTCAAATCTATCTAAATGTAAGTCATGTGATCAGTCAAAGTATACGCCGTGATCTAATACTTTAAAGGTTCTTTACCGCTTTAAAGCACAAATTCAAGGTTTATAGTCCTAAAATATTTTTGATAAAATAAACAGTAAACGCATCCAGTTACTGAGTTTTGGAGGATTTTAAAAACGTGCTCTGTTTTTTTTGTGGGTTGTTTCATCAGTACAACCACAAAAAAAAAAAAAAAAAAAAACCACCCTGCAGACTAGTTGTGTGATGTGTTTTATCTCGCTCTGGTGCCACGGTGCTAATCACTGACTCGAATTAAGATCAGTTCATCAGAGACTGAAAAAACCAAAAAAACAAACAGCCTCCTCTGTTCTGGGGGAGTTCTGGCTGAGGCAGTCAGGACTTTCTTTTGTCACGTTCTGCTCTTGATTTTTGTTACTTTTCTCTCTTTTCTGTCCTGGTTTAACTTGCTTTGCTAATGATGTCATTTTTACAAAGGCACTCTCACTCTTTTTTGCTAAATATAATATAAAACAAAACTAAAGGCTGCTAAATTGCCTGTAAGGCTTTTAAAAACATCCCAAGTATAGATTTTTTTTATAGACATTAAAATTATATGCCTTGACAGGACTATAATAATAATAATAATATAATTAATAATACAATTTATACACATATAAATATATATATATTATAACCTAAGGATATTAGGCAATTAAAAATGTTTTGTCTAATGATATTTTGCCATGTTCATATCTAACTTATCATAACTATCTGGTTATTAAAAACAAACAATGTTACCCTTCATCCTCCCTTTAACCTCAACCCTAACCCTTGACCTTGCCCATGCTCCTGTGAAGCGCCTTGGGTGTCCTGAAAAGGCACTATAAAAATGCAAACTATTATTATTTTTTATTTAAAAAAAAATCATCCTGCAATACTACCAAATTTCCATCATGCTCCTGTGAAGCGCCTCCTGTCCTGAAAAGGCACCATAAAAATGCAAACATTAAAATCATTAATAAATTTAAAAAATATCATCCTGCAATACTACCAAATTTCCAATAGAAGCCACAGAAAAAAAAAATCTTAAAAAAAAAAATGTCCCCAAATCTACAACTAGTTTCACAGGTTTTGACCATCATTTGCATTAAAAAAAAAAGCACGTGACTTCCTAAACCCAGGTGGGGTCGGTTGCGGTGCCAACGACTCACCCTCCTGAGAACCGAAACTTTAAAAACGACTCTGCTGGCTCTGAGACCGGACTTTGCAGCATGAAGCTGCCTGCTAACTAACTAACTAACAAACTAATGTCGTCTCACTCTGTTACACAGCCTAAGACAAACGCCACCGCGTGGTCACCGATCCCACCGGGTCGACTGAGGTGAAACTGCAGGAATCACAGCCCGCGTCGTGGCGTGGTTCTTGTTAGTGCCACGGGTTTAGATGATAAGTTTCCTCCTCCAGCTGCTGACCTTTAAGTCTTAAGTCTGTCAAATACCAGCAGGGCGTCTCAGAGCCACGGTCCTCCCCTGCCTGCAGCCACCTCTGATGAATGGTCATGCAAATTGTGCTGACTGAATATGAGAGCAGTTTACTGTGATGGGAAATTGAACGTCCCGGGCCACAGCTGAGCATCATGGTCCGTATTTACGCCGGAAAAATCACAAAAACGTGCGTCTGTATCAGTGAAGAAGCAGTAAAAGTTTACGATCAAATATTTCAGGTCTCATATGGAATATTAAAGAAACGGGAACACAATAAATTTATAAAGTTTTGGTCTAACATATGTACAATTTTATTACAAATATCCACATACGTGCAAAATGTTTTTTTTTTTTAAAAAAAAAGATACAAAAGTTTGTATTTGTGCCAAAATAAAAATAGAAATATTGTTAAAAAATTAAAAAAAAAAAAATATATATACAGACACAAATTCATTTTGTCTTTCGTAGATGACAGAATAACAGGTGAGGAAGGATGTGAGATAAGGTCGGCAGTTGGCCTGTCACGTAATGCACATCTTTGGCAATGAACACACGCATGCACGCACACACACGCACGCACTCGCTCACACGAGCACAATTATGCACAAAAGCTTAGTCACACCTCACGCACCACCATCTTATCTCGCCGCACCAAGGCCTTGTGGGATTTGCTCACAGTGTTGCTTCGTCTGAGGCACTTTTCACGTTGACTCTCTTGCCGGAGTCACAGAGAGGAAGTAGAAGGTTCTGGTGATTGTGTCCTGAGTCCGTTATCAAACACACACAATTATATTTTTCTTCCCGATAAGAAATAACCAGAAAACATTTGGTTACAGATGAAGTAAAGCAGCCGGGTGTGATTACAGTTACACGGAAAGAAAGAAAAAAACTAAAGCCCACAAGGTCACACTTCATTTTGCCCCTTGTCACCTTCACAGGCCTGAACAGGAAGTCACCAACTGAGACATAGGATAAAAATAGGTGCAGTTCACTCACGTTTGTGTAAAAAAAAAAAAAAAAAAAAAAAAAAAACAGAAGTTATCTCTACTTTTCTATCATTTCTATTGAATTAATGCATAGGAGACGAATTTTGGATTTTCCTTGTGATTTTCACAGCATTAAAAAAGCTACAATAACTTTTTACCTTCGAGGCTCCGTGTCCGTGTTTGGTTTTCACCGAAATGGACTGTTCTTCAAATGTTCTTCAACTTCAGTTTTAGTAGCTGAATACAGCACAGAATCTATGTAAAACCTGATTTCTCTTTGGCTTCAAATGGAACTCCCAAAACGTACGTGAAACAAGTAAGAGGGGAAAAAAAAGGAAATCGTACTGCATATAGGCATCATGTGGTTCTGTTGATACGTTTGCATGGCCTTGATGGAATCCGAGATAATAATAGACTTCCTTTCATCCTGCAATCCATCAATTCGACTGAGCCTTTTTTTCTTAAACCACTCACTGGTATGCATTAAAATAAACATAAAAGCTCCTGGATTAAGGTTTGTGCAACAGTCAGCAGCAGTAAGCGTATAAAAAAAAAAAAAAAGACGAAGGAAGATCTCCGCAACACTCAGCATGAAGATACGTGACACAACCTTTAGAAAAGTCAAGTGAAAACTTTGGGATTTTTATGGCCGAGGCACTGCAGGTCAATGTTAAACATAATACTATAAAACTGCATGGTCAGAACCAATCAGGATTGTTTGTATGGCTTGATCCTCGTTTAAGGCCGGGCTAACAGAAGGCAACTTTTTTTGTTGCATTTTGTTGTAGTTTTTGTTTTTGTTTTTTAAAGTGAGCTGTGTTTTATATATACATATATATACATATATGTATATATATGTACATATATATTTCTATACATATATGTATAGAAATATATATACACATATATAAACAGACACGTGTGTATATATATGTATATACATGTATATATATTTCTATATATATGTTTTATATTTCTATACAGAAATGTATATACACATATATATACACATATATGTTTATATGTATATATCTATACATCTATATATGTATAGAAATATATATACATCCATTCATATATATGTCTATACATATATAGACATATATATATTTATATATATATATATATGTATATATACACACACATAGAGGGTTTTAAAGTCTTTTGTATTTACATGTTATGTATCACTTTGGCCAGTTAGGTTTTTATTCGGGGTAAATCTGTAATATCCAGGCTTGACTCCTCATATTTTTCTAAGTCTGCTCCCTGCTCCTCGGGGCCTTGCTCCCACATGTCGGCATCTGCGCCGTCAACATGGTTTCCCACATCGCAACTGTCTCTCTCCCGCCGCTCTGTTGTTGGTGAATCTTCAATGGGACGACCTCGCAGCTGTTCCCCTGATGGCTCCTCATGTGCCTCACGACTGTCACTAGCTCCTGCCTCTTTATCTTCCTCCTCCTCCTCCTCTTCCTCCTCCTCCTCCTCTTCCTCTTTGAGTCCCTCTGTAGCTCCATCCAGACTGGAATCGCTGAGGAACAAATGTGGAGTGAGGGCGTCCTCCGCGGATGGGTGGGCCTCGTCGGCCGGCCGGCCCGCGAGAATGCCACCCGCCTCGGGGGCGAAGGGCATCTCCTCGTGGTCCTGCTCCTGGTCCTGGTCTTGGTCTTTGCTGCAGTAAGCGTAGCGGTGGTTCATGTGCTGTGAGTAAGAGCCGGAGTGAGAGAAGCGCTTACCACATTTGTCACATTGGTAGGGTTTCTCTCCGGAGTGCAGCCGGCTGTGCTCGATCAGATGGTGCTTGTGTTTGAAGGCCTTGTTGCACACCTTGCACTCGTGAGGACGTTTGCCTGTGATGAAAAAAGAAAATACACATTTGATACCAAATTATAGATGAACAGATACTTATGTATATCAGAAAAACTGAGACGGAATCTCTGTAAATACACCTTAGTTTACCTTGTGTTTAATTTATCCCTTTACTTGACTTTTTACCGAGAAGGAACAACTCCATTGTATTTTTTTTATAATAGAAAATTTTTTTCGTTGGTTAACTTAAGTTAAGTTTCCTAAAATGGTGCTGATAAATTTACATTTTGAATTATATTATTCTAGGCTGAAAAAAAATATATCAAATACAACCATACTGTTAGGTAAGATTAAATCAAACATCGTAACTTTATTTTTTTAAATAAAAAAATTTAACAAAAAAAGTCTTTAATAAATATGTACTGAATATTACACAAAAAAATTTTTAAAAAAATTTAAAATTTTATTTATTTATTTATTTATTTATTTTTACAAATTTCATTGACTTATCATCAGATCTCCTGAAATTACCATCGAATTCGATCAAAGTCTTCAAACCATTTTGCAACCTGAACTGTCCTTAAAACATGAAGAAATATACATGAAAAAATCAAAGATGTTTTGTTTTTCGTTTTTTTTTTTTTTTTTTATCAAAATATACTGCTGCATAAGTTCTTTTTCTCACGTTAAACTGTAAAGATGTTTTGTTTTTCTTTTTTTTTTTTTTTTTTTTGCACGTACCGATATGTTCGTATTTGTGTCGCAGCAGAGAGCTGCTCTTCTGGAAGGTTTTTTCACAGATGTCACATGCGTACATCCCCTCCTCTGTCTTCTTCAGCCTCTTCCTCCCTGGTCCACCTTCTACATCCAGACCTTCATCCATGAGTGAGAGATAATCCAGAGCTCCTCGGCTCAGCACGTCCCCCTGTGAATAAATATGCGATTATTGCTATATTACATGTAGGGATGTCCGATATTAACTTTTGCCGATATTGTCCAAATACTTGATTTGGCCTGGTAACATTTATTTACATTTATCTATACACACCACTGTATGAGTATGAGATTTATTAAATGAGCTGCAATGCTGCCATCTAGTGACCTCCGCTTTAATACACAGTCGTTTATCCCCAAAACAATTTTTAGTGATTCTATTTTAGCGAATCGTATTTGGTAAAACCCAGGCATTGCGTTGTCGGGTTTTCATTATCGGAGTGAAAAATGATAACGATTCTTACAGATATTACAAAATATGCTAATATCAGATATTAGGGATGTCCGATATTATCAAACATCCCTAACTACATGTGTATTTGTAACTGGCAAATACTGTTACTAAGTAGTAACGGTATTTGGCAAGCAGTACTTGTTGATGTGGTTGTTGACTGCCAATGTGTTAAAAATCAAATCTATTAGATACAAGTTGTTAGAGCTAGGCAAACTAAGGCTTGCGGGCCAGATCAAACACCGCTGCTCTAGAATCTCTGAACATATTATTACAAGTGCAGTGCAACATGAACTGCTTTTTAATTAGACTTCACACTATGAGTGTCTATTTAAGGAGCTCGTAAAAAAGGGTTTATAAAATAATGTCCTTTTTTCCTATGCATTTTTTAGAAAAGGGTTCAGGTTCTATGATCTAATGGTGAACAAAAAGGCCACGCCCACTTCCTACTGCATTTAAGCCTGTGTTGCCACAGCAGACCATGGCAAACTGTCGAACCCTTTTCAGTTGTGTTGTCGGCGTTGTTGTTGACTGTCCAACAGTATTGTTGTGTTTATTATTTACCATGTCTTGAATGCAGAATTGAACTCTTTCCTTTTTAAATGTTTTCATTTCTAGTCCATACTTTTTGCTTTCACTTGTTGCTTCATATAAGAATCCCCCCGTAATATTGATTTCCTGATCTGAATTCATGATGATTTTGTGAACAACCGTACACGAAAATACCTAGTCTTTGTCGAGAGAATTACCGAAAATTTGGATGGTTAAAAAAAAAACAAGTAGTATTGACAGGATGTAGAAACAGGAAGTGGTTCGTGCTCCATTGCTCTTGCAGTGATATTTTGAGAATCTCCAGGTAGAAAGTGCGTGGTTCTGCCTTATATTTATTATATTTAACTTCCCATTTCAAACAGAGGTCTTACCATAAGAGCATGCCTTTCCTGGTGGATCTTCTTCAACGCTGCCTCTGCGTCTGCTTCCATCATGTAGGTCAAAGGTGAGAGAAATCCAGAGCTGTTTGCCTGCTGGCTGAATGAGATTCTTGCCATGGCATCGTGTCCCGAAAGCCCAGAGAAACCAGACTGACTGATGATGGGAAAACTGTTGTACATGGGTCCGGGGAACACAGGAGCTCTGGCTCCACCGTATATGGGGTGGTGAAAGGGTAGCTGCGATGTCGGACTTAGGTTGGACATTAGTCTCTTTAGCTGCTGCGTCTCCAGGTCTCTCTTTTCACGCCTAGCTGAGCTGCCGTTGACCTTTGGGTTTTTCCCCTCTTTGTCTGCGGGCTGTTTGGGCAGAGACAGGTCTAGAGGTTCATTCTGTGCCGACCAGGAGCCGCCGTTCTGGTTCTGAGGAAGGATGTCAGGAGGGCAGCTGGTGAGGTCGAGGCAAATGGGGGAAGTGAATCCTGAAGAAGACACTCTTCTTTTGGCCTTTGGTGACAACAGATCTGGGGAGTGGAGACCTTGTTGTGTTGGACTTCCCTTTTCCGGTCTGGACCAAAATGGATGCGAGGACAGGGAATCGTGGCAGGGCTGCGGAGGGGAGTGCATCGCAACCAAAAGCTGCTGTGGAACCGAATGCCAACTGGGCTTGTGTAACGGGGATTTGCTTCCCGACAGGCCATTGGCTACTTCACACGGTTTGCTGTGTTCTACCTGAAGACCAGATCTGGAGAAGAACAAAGGCGGCGAGGAGTTGTCTTTGTCGCCAAGACTCCTGGGCACCTCCACAGCCTCCAGGTTTAATTTACAGAGGTAGCGCTCATGCTGCAGCAGAACTGCCACATTGGGGAAAAGCTGCGAGCACCAGCGACACGTCACCCCAAGAACACCCCTCTCCGCTTCACCCGACTCTCTCTTCTCAGGGGACAGTTTCCTCTTGAGATCAGCGACATTGTTCATCGCTCTCCTTTCCTCGACTTCTGCGCCCCCTTTGTCCTGGTCTTCCCTCTTTGCCTCCTTGTGAAGCACATCCTGTATCATTTGCTCAAACTTGGTCCCGGAGTAAGGATAAGGCAACAGGTTGGTCCCTTTAAGGATACTGGCTCTCAGGGGGAGGTCCGTGGGGGGGTCCCAGAGCTGAGACAAATCCAAAGCTTTTGTTAAGACCGCAGGGTTCTGGCTGGGATCCTGCAGCATGAGCTGGTGGGCTTCCTCCGGTACTCGCACCAGAGATTTAGAATTGTTATGGTTTTGTAAGGACAAAGGCGAGCCCTTGTCATTGTTGTTCCTCCCCCTGCCGGCAGAAGGAGATGGGAGAAGTGAGAGTTGGTAGGGGTTTTGGCTGTGTCCATTGAAGGCCCCGCCGGCGCCTCCTGCGTTTCCGTTTCCGTTTCCTCCGCCGCTGTGGCACTTTTTGCTGCTTAGGTGGGAGCTGTAGGAGCCCGAATGGGAGAAACGCTTTTTGCAGTTTGAGCACTCGTACGGCTTCTCACCTACAGGACAAAAAAAAAAAAAAGAAAAAAAAAAGCAGGCTGTAAATACATTCTGTCAGACTTTCAACTTCTTCATTTTCCATATCCTGTCATAAAAAAAAAATCTTTTTATATTTTATTTATTGCGACACTGGGGACAGACTAAGTGAAGGTTAGTGATGGAAACAATGGGAGAGTAACGGGTGAGTGCCACTGTTGTGATATTTCTATGCTTTACCGCTGTGGATGCGGAGATGCTCTTTGAGGTGGTGTTTGTACTTGAAAGCCTTCCCACACTGGAGACATTTAAACTTCCTGGTCTCCATGCTTTGATCCAGCGTGATGGGACTCTGAACGAAAAAGGATTGAGATTTTAACTTAATTTTTTTTTATTCTTATTTTAAGAATCTTCATGAACCTTCAAATCAGGAAACTGCCACGACTCTCTGTGAGTTGGTCTCACCTTGGCCTTAAGAATCTTCATGAACCTTAAAATCAGGAAACTGATTCTCTGTGAGTTGGTCTCACCTTGGCCTGCATTTGATGGTGAAGAGCCAGGTGCTGCTCCATCTGTGCCCTTAAGGGGGCAGTGTATCCACAGAGCGGACACACCATGTGCCCTCCTTCCCTCTCTTGGCAGAACTTGATGTGCTCCCTCAATGAGGCTCCTCGCTGAAAAACTCTGTGGCAGAACGGACAAATCTGCTGGAACCTTCCTGGGTCTGGAAACACACACACACAAAAAAGACATGATCAGAATCAAAAGATCAAAGGTTTATGAGAACGTACCATAATCTAACCTGCAGGGGGGGCTGTACCCTGTACAAAATCAAAAGTAACAGATTTGCAAATTAAATCACAATTATCAACTCGGAAAATGTTAAAGAGAAATTCACCAAAAAAACAAAAAAAAAAAAAAATCCACTTATTACAAAACTTGGTTTGATCCTTAATATAACTGTCGAAAGTCGGTGGTCCAAATTAACTACGAGGAACAGCATAAATAGGAGAAGTGTGTCCTCACGCTCACCAGAGAGAAGGTGAAAAAAAGAAGAAAAGTATTTTATAATGTCTGTTAAGGGAAATTCATTTGTTACGAAAGCAAAAAAAAGAAAAAAAAGAAAAAAGAAACACAGTCCGTGATCAGTATTTACAGAAAAAAAATGTCCAATAAAGCTATGAATATAAATATGTATAATTAAATATCAAAGGCGTTCTTCTGTACATTCATGTCTTTGTATCTGTACATTAACACAGTAACCTCCCCCTCCCCCCACAGTATGTAGTTTTTTTGTGTACTTGTTTTTTTAGCGTTACATGGTTTTAACACCTATACATGTGTGACTTTACAAGCACGAAAACTTTTACATCTGCATCAGGACAAAACTATTATCCAGAAAGCGTGGTCCGAATTTGTCCTTTACTTTCCAAATTATGCTGATCACCAGAGGAAAAAAGAAAAAAAGAAGAAAAAAAAAATACAAAATTGACAGAATTTCTTACATTGACCTCAGCAAGTTAAATATTTAAAAACACGTCTCTGGACTGAGCCTCATTTATGATAGATGAAAAGCCTTGGAGCCAAAGATGTTTTAAAAAAAGAAATGTCGAAAAGCATTTGCGTTGGTGTGAACGCCCATCTCCAGTAATGACGTGAGAGAGCTGCATATATTCCACCATAGTGTTGATGTAGAGGCTCATCGTGGTATTTAATGGATATGCCTTCATCGAGATGAAATTCTCTCCGATGAACTCCACTCAACATGTAGTGGAATATCTGTAAATGGACCGAGTTCAAACTGGGATTTTCAAAATAAAACACCTTATACGTCCAGTCAGTCAGTTCCTACAGCAGCCATAGTGTCATATCAGTGATAGTTTTTGAGGTTTTTTTTTTTTTTTTTATGTCCAGTCAGTCAGTTCCTACAGCAGCTATAGTGTCATATCAGTGATAGTTTTTTTGGTTTTTGTTTTTTGTTTTGCTTTTGTTTAACAGAAAACCACATTTTAACCTGTTTTGATTGAATGTTAAACTTGCTGCAAACAAAACAACATAATGTCACTCTCTTCTACAACCTAAGATCAGGTGTGTACTAAGCAACAGTGCAGGAAAACATTTCGGCTAACGGGCTAAAGTTAGGTGCAAAATTTGACTTTGGTTTCAGTGTTGGTTTGATGTAGAAGTGTGAGGTCTGTCTGACTGCCTTTCCTCCTGTAGGTGGAGTTAATCAGCGACATCAGTCTCACCTGTGTCTCTGTCATCAGTCTGACTGGTGTCACCTGGTGCCCTGGGTATATAAACCTCTCTGCCTCACTCAGTCTTGGAGGGATTGTTGTTCTGAGTGGGTGTTTGTGAGTCATGCTGTGTGTTTCTGATTTTGTTGAACCTGTGATTTTTGCACTAAATTTTCTGCACCTAAAGAGAGTCTCATGGCTCGACGTAACAAGAACGCTCGACGAAATAATTTAATATAAAATGTACCAGAATAAACCGAAACTTTCAAAGATAAATTGGCACGTTTGATGTCCGCTGCCATTTAGCGGCATCAAAAGAAGTTACACTTGCTTTGTTGTAATGCGTAAAACGGAAGAATTGACATCAGTTTTTACCAGACTTTGCCTGGTGTTTTGGCAGGCCGGATTACAAAGCCCAGCAACCCCTCATTAACATCAGTTTTTACCAGACTTGGCCTGGTGTTTTGGCCGGATTACAAAGCCCAGCAACCCCTATTTGGCCCACGGGCCATGGTTTGCACAGATCTGGTCTACAATATTACAACCTCTACACAGCGCATTAATTCTTTTAAACGTTTTATCTGTTTTTTGCTACTTTTTTGCATTGATAAAATGAAAAAAAAAAATGCTACTCTGTCTCTGTTAATGTCATAGGTTTAAACAACAGAAGTGTAGATGTGATGACAATGAGTTCCAACCTGTGTTCAGTTATGCTGTTATACAGCATGAGAAACAGTCCACAGTGACTAATATCCTCCCATCAACTCACCGTTTCCAATGTCACTTTCTAAATTAGTTCAGTTTAAACCAAATATTTAAAAAAATACCTTTGATCTTACGCCTGGCTAACAAAGATCAAAGCACTTTAAACATTAGCCCACCTGCCCCGTCAGGTGAAGAGTGCTGAGCTCCCGGAGACCAGATAGCAGGTGGTAGGTCTTCGTGTCTGCTGTCCTGGTGATACACAGCCGCCGTGCCATTATGGCCCAGGTGGTCCAGGAGAGCGGCAGAGGTAGAGGCTTTCTTCAGCTGGGCCAGAAATTCATAGTGGGCCAGGTCCTCAAAGGCACTGTGGGAGTCTGAGTTTTTACCTGGGCAGCAAATAGACAGACACAGAGAGAGAGAGAACTTT